TTTTTTTTTTTTTTGGTAAATTTCTTAATATACATAAAAATAAAGTTTCTATATAGAAACCGATTCCAAAACCTTCTATTTATCTCCCTAAGCAAAATAAATTCCAAAAAAAATCAAACTTTTTAAAAAAGTAGCCGTTACGCTTTCCGGTCTAATCAAGCAACCATCTCCCTATATATCATTCTTATCGCTCTCCAAAGGGAAGAAATCCAGAGAAAATCATATTCTTCTTCTCAGAATCAGATCTCTGTCTTATCTTCTGAAGATTCTGAAACAATCCGAAATCAAATTAAAAAATAATTATATGTCGAGTTCAATCTCCCACTTAGATTCGGCCAATATTAACATTAATGGCGGAAGGAGATGTGCAGCCTGCAAGTATTTAAGAAGAAGATGCTCGGAAGATTGCATTTTGGCCCCTTATTTCCACCATTCTCAGCCTGAAAGGTTCGCTTCTGTTCATAGGATCTTTGGGGCCGGTAATGTTGCCAGAATGCTCCAGGTATTATTAACATATCTAACGCCTACAATTTTAATATTTATATACTCTAAAATGTTATTTACACATTCTGTATTGGGTTACAGCAACTACCACTTCATGATCGGGCTCAGGCAGCTGATGCAATCGCAACTGAGGCCCACTGGCGCGTTCAGGATCCTGTCTACGGCTGCACGGAGAGAATTGTCTGTTTGCAACATGAGATTAGTAAGGCCCAGAATGAGCTTGCAGTAATGAAAGCTCAGATTGCAATCCACATAGCTCATCATGAAAAACAACAGCATAGTGAGGCCCAATACTACCAATGTTATTTGAAAGACAATGATTCGTTTGTGCCGTACTGGCCCAATTTGAGACCAGATTTCATTTAGGGCTTGATTGCTGTTCGTTTGGTTTTTGTTTAGAAAAAGATTGGTCTCTCTCAAATTAAAAAAAAAAATGAAAATTCTTTTGTTTGATTTAATGAGTTCTTGGAGAGTGTTTGAGGACAAATTTTATATTTTTTTTGGGTTTTATCTTTTATTTGCTTGAAAGGGTAAAATGATATCATTGAAGAGAGAAATTAATTGAAAAGCAGTGAGAAATGAAGGAATGTAAATGAGGGAAAATTAGTTCATGTTTTTCTATTAACTTTGTCATTAAATATTTATATACTAAAAATGTAAAAAATAAAAAATAAAAACCGTTCATATTGTGATATTTCAGAATACATTGTTATAAACAATTTTATGAATGAATAGGCTTTGTTTATTGGTGTACCCAATTGAATTAAGGTCGTTGTCAATTGCTATGGAAGTAGTGTTCTGTTGTGATTGTTGTGGATGATTGCTGTAGTTCTAGCATGTGGTAGAGGTTGTAATTGAAGACCATGGTAGTGGTTGATCATGCAGTTCATATGTGATAGCATAAGGAGCATTAGTTAGGTACAAAGGCCATAGGTGGGAGCTACAATAGCAATTGCAGGCTGCAAAGTCCAAAGTTGAGAGTTGCATGAACTATGATTCACGTAGACCTTAGTTGGTTAATAGGAAGTTGTAATAACATTTGTAGACCGCAGTGGTCAGAGTTGAGAGCTACATGAGCAGTGAACGACATAAGCCGTAGTTGGTCACATAGATCGTAGTGGTGACAGACAATAATGTATGTTAGTCGTAGATGTTCGATTCGGGAGTTATATGAGTTGTGGATCACATAGGCCATAGTTGGTCAGGTAGGTCATATTGGTGAGCTACAATAAGATTTGTAGGGCATAGAGGACATATTTGGGAGCTGCATGAGTTTTGGATCACATAGGATGTAGCGGTCACATAGGCTGTGGTGGTGAGTTGTGGATCACATAGGATGTAGTGATCACACAGGCTATAGTGGAGGGTTGTGATAATAGTCGTATGCTATGGAGGCCGAAGTTGGGAGCTGCATGAGATAATTCACGTGGACTGTAGTGGAGAGATGTGAGGAGACAACTTTAAGAGTTTGAAGAAAATTAACGTATACAAGGTGCATTATCACACCGCCTTTGAGGTGCGGTGTTGTACCATATTTGGGCACATCATTGCATAGTATGCAAGATGCATTATTATATTATCTTTGGGGTAAGCGTTACATCGTCTTTGAGGCACGTCATTGCGCCTTAATTGGGGGGCATCATTGCACCATATACGGGATACATTGTTGCGCTATATGTGGGGTGCATTGTTACACTTTCTTTTGAGTGTGTCGTTAAACCTTCTTTAAGATGCATCATTGTACCACATTCTAGACACATTATTGTACCATATAAAGGGGTGTTTGGTTCCACTGCCTTCAGTGTGATTCATTACACCATCTTCAAGGTGTATCATTATATCGTATTTGAGGTGTGTTGTTGCACAATATTCCAAGTATATTGTTACACTATCATAGGGGTGCGTCCTTGTGCCATGTTCGGGCACATTATTACCCCGTCTTTAGAGTGTGTCATTACATTATCTTTTGGGTGCGGTGTTGTATCATATTTGAGGTGTGTCATTCTAACGCATTTGGGGTGCATTGTGACATAGTCTTCGTGGTGCGTTGCTCTTTAGAATGCTTCGTTACTCTACAAAGCTTGTCATTACTTCGCGCAGTGCTTCATTACTCTATCGTGTATGTCGTGACTCCTTAAGGACTTATTTGCAGCGAGCAAGAGGTGGTCGGTGGAGACCAACAAGCTCTCATCTATGGTGGTCAACATCTCATGAGGGGTTAGCGTTTGTTGGTTCTTGGGTAAAAGACAACATTATAATTCAACTCCTCATGATCTAGTTCTAGCGCTATCACTTCATTCCCTTTCATGAAGAGGTTGAGCTCTATTTTAAAGTCTGCGAGAGATATCTCTACAAATAAGGAGGAAGTTTAGAGCATTCCATCCGACGACCTAAAAAGATTTCCTCAATCAGACGACACGTTGTGGGCATTTTAGTGCCTTAACGATGTTAGAATTGAGTGATATTGGGTCTGTTGAATTTGTTTTGTTGAGACGCTTGATTTCGACTATAAGCTTGCGATATTTGGAATATATTTGGTCTTCCAGTTAGTCACCCAATGCTTCTAACAATAGTTTAACGGCTTCATCCGTGCTTGATTCGACTCAGATTGGGCCAATTTTGGGGTCATTGGATCCGTTCCGTCAAATGGGTCAGTTTGACTGTAAGTTTTCTGAAATTTGATTTCAAGATGAATTTTATTTTGCGTTTATAGATTTCTTGCTAGAAAAAAGTTTAGAGATTCATACTAATCATCTCAACATTAATTCTTATCAAATAATAAAATTTGTTGATAAAATTAATTGTACATATTATAACATCTTAACAGGAAACTAAAAATATAAAATTAATTGATTAAAATATTTGTGCTCATGAGAAGATAAGATATGTTGTATACAAGGGGTTTTTTCATGGATGTGAAGGTTGGAAGAACGAGAGGACTGAAGCCAAGTTTGAAAATAAAATTATTTATTTATTTTGTCTTTTTAATGCTTGAAGTAGCTTAGGAATATGATATTGTAGAGTATATAGAAATTATCTCTTCAAAACATATTATATCAACTACAACATTTGATCAAACTCGACTTCGAATGAGTTCAAATATATATATATATATATATATATATATATATATATAT